CCCGCCTGAGCGAGGAGGGTATCGGAATACCATACTATTTACATGGTTTCGTGCCCCTCCCACCCCTCCAGGGAGGCCCCGCCTGAGCGAGGAGGGTATCGGAATACCATACTATTTACATGGTTTCGTGCCCCTCCCACCCCTCCAGGGAGGCCCCGCCTGAGCGAGGAGGGTATCGGAATACCATACTATTTACATGGTTTCGTGCCCCTCCCACCCCTCCAGGGAGGCCCGCCTGAGCGAGGAGGGCATCAAGAAAATGGGTCCCGCAAAACCGTTAATCTCTTTATGTAGGGAACTCCGTTAGCATAATTTGATTTTTTTGAATGTGTTTGAGTTCTTTTTCCCCACATCCTGAGTGGGGTTCTTGTTTTCCCAGAACACCCTCTCCTTCCCACCCACCTCCCGCTGCATCTTCCATACAGCACAATATTATTCCTACCACACACACCATACCATACCATAGTTCCTACCACACATACCATACCATACCATACCATACCATACCACACCATACGTACCATACCGTACCATACCATACCATGGCGTACCATAGCATACCATACCATATCACACCAATGCCACACCGTACCATACCATACCATACCTCCAGTACCATACCATACCATATCATACCATACCGTACCATACCATACCTACCATACCATTCCATACCACTCCATACCGAAAACCATACTACTTACATGGTTTCGTGCCCCTCCCACCCCTCCAGGGAGGCCCCGCCTGAGCGAGGAGGGTATCGGAAAACCATACTATTTACATGGTTTCGTGCCCCTCCCACCCCTCCAGGGAGGCCCCGCCTGAGCGAGGAGGGTATCGGAATACCATACTATTTACATGGTTTCGTGCCCCTCCCACCCCTCCAGGGAGGCCCCGCCTGAGCGAGGAGGGTATCGGAATACCATACTATTTACATGGTTTCGTGCCCCTCCCACCCCTCCAGGGAGGCCCCGCCTGAGCGAGGAGGGTATCGGAATACCATACTATTTACATGGTTTCGTGCCCCTCCCACCCCTCCAGGGAGGCCCCGCCTGAGCGAGGAGGGTATCGGAATACCATACTATTTACAGGTTTCGTGCCCCTCCCACCCCTCCAGGGAGGCCCCGCCTGAGCGAGGAGGGTATCGGAATACCATACTATTTACATGGTTTCGTGCCCCTCCCACCCCTCCAGGGAGGCCCCGCCTGAGCGAGGAGGGTATCGGAATACCATACTATTTACATGGTTTCGTGCCCCTCCCACCCCTCCAGGGAGGCCCCGCCTGAGCGAGGAGGGTATCGGAATACCATACTATTTACATGGTTTCGTGCCCCTCCCACCCCTCCAGGGAGGCCCCGCCTGAGCGAGGAGGGTATCGGAATACCATACTATTTACATGGTTTCGTGCCCCTCCCACACCTCCAGGGAGGCCCCGCCAAAGCGAGGAGGGCATCAAGAAAATGGGTCCCACGAAACCGTTAATCTCTTTATGTGGGGAACTCCGTTAGCATAATTGACTCCTTTTTGTGATTTCGTCCAAAATTCGCCTGTAGGGGGGACACGCCCGACCGAAGCCCAGGGGAGATCAACACAGGTCGTGCCGCAATCGATCCCTTGTGGGCCCCACCGGTCGTGGACCAGCGCCTGACCGCCTCCGACCACTCGGCACCGTTGTCTGTGGGCCTGGGGGCTTCGGGGCCCAACGACCCCCAGGGGTGAGGAGGAGGTCTCCCCTGAGACCTCTCACGTATGGAGCAGACAATAGAAAAGGAACGAATGCTATAAACAAGACCTGTTGGCGCTCCGCGCGCATTTCTTGGATCCGCGCTGGGCCCCCCCGGCGGCGCCTCCGGCGATGCCCCTGGCGCGCTCCGCGCGCCAGGGAGGGGGTCCAACGCGGATCCAAGAACCCCGCGCGGGGCGTCAGCACCAACAGTTTATGTTTATGGTGCTTTTTCCTCTCCGAAGCAAGCGAGACGGAACAGGTTCGCATGGTTTGGCGTCTGGAAGCCTTTTCGAGGCCGCAGGATCAGGAGACAGTTGCCAGGAAGCCTGAAGATTCGTTGCCTATGGGCCTGGGGGCTTCTGGGCCTAGAGCCCCAGGGTTAGGGAGCCCACGACGGGCCTACGCGCCCAACCAAGCACATGAACACGGCCCCCCAGTCCGGGAGACCAGCCTCGTGACGCGAACGCTCGCGCAATGCGCCCTGTCGAAACCAGCATGAGGTCATGTACGCGACTGAAGGGTGCCCCCATCCCGAGGGTGCCAGACCTCGGGGGAGACGATGGGTGCGAATAGCCCATGGGAGGGCAGCACAGGTATCCAGGGCCGCCGATGGTCCATGCAGCCTCCCGCGCGGATACGTGTAATGCCCGCCCCTGGGCTATTCGCCCCTATCGTCGCCTCCGCTAACCTGTACCGCGTGAAGGCCTCGGGAGCCATCCCGAGCCCTTAGCAGGCCCAGAAAGTGCAGACAGTGCCCAGACAACCTCGGTCCTGCATCCACGATGCTCCGCCCCGGTCCCTCGACGATACCAATGTTCAAGTACGGGATCGACTACAGAATTTACTGTTCCTCCCACAATTGGTTTTTCCGTCGGATCCACGAAAAAGACTTTTTGAATGTTCTGTAGATCTACAAAGCATTCTGCGCGTGATTAGTAGACGCGGCGAAACACAATATGTTGGGGTCAACGAATTCTGTAACTGATCCCCTACTCGAAATGATGGAGGCGGTTGGGGCGCGCTCCTTTACTATAACGAGTCGTAAAGGAGCGCGCTCCAACCGCCCCCATCATCTCGAGTAGGGCATTGGTTACAGAATCGGTGTACCCCAGAATATATTCTTTTATCGAGTCTACTAAACATGGGAAGCGCTTCTTGGATCAACAGAACATTCTAAGTCTTTTTCGTGGATCAAATCCAAAGTAAGTGTTTTTTATTCGAGCTGGACCCTGCACCGACCATAACCGGGGGCGACGATGGGGGCGACGCTTTTGCTCCCCCCCCTCCTCGGGGGAGACTAGGAGGTACCGATACCGCTACTCCCCGGACCTCTCTTGGGGTGCGTTCTGACCAGAATTTCGAGGCGAATCCAGCGGTGGTGACGAGGGCCGCCCAGGAGGCCTCAAAATGGGAAAACGAACGAGGGGTAGCGGCATGGGTACCTTTTCCACCTCCGATCCTCGGGGGCGACGATGGGGGCGGATAGCCCAGGGGAGAGCAGCACAGGGTACCCCAGGGGCGCCGCTGGCCCATGCCTTCGGCGGGGCTCCCGGGCTCGAAATGACGTGTCGTGCCCGCCGCCCAGGGCAATCCGCCCCTGTCTCGGGGGCGCGCAGACCGGGTTGGCGCGCGGTCGCTGCACCGCGAGCAGCGGGGACGAGTTGGGCGCGAATTCACGGGGGGGCGATGCGTGGAGGGGGCAGCGAGAGCCGCCGAACAGGGGCCCTTCGGGGCCCCTGAAGGGCCGTCTGTCGGGGGCGCGCAAACATGGATTCGCGATCTGTGGATTCGGCGCGCGGTCGCCACATCCATGGATCGGGGGAGGTCCCCGTTTGTTTTTTTTTGGGGGGGGGGCGAAAGCGGACACCTCCACACGAACAGCTCAACAAAGCATGCGATACACCTCAGAGCTAATTCAAATACCCCGTGCAATCGAAAGGAGGCAGCCCTCCCCAAAATGCGGACGGCGCCGCCCCGTTCTGCGGCGGAGATCCGCGATTTCCTATGGAAGCGGGGCCCGTCGATGATCCACGCCCTCCTGACCCATGTCTGCGATCGCCTTACTATCGTCGCCTTCGACCTCCCCCTCCCGCCTGGGAATGTCACGATTCGCGCCAGCGCCGTTTGTGAGCGTTTTGTTATTCGGCGTTTCGACATTGGGCGGAAGGGGGGGGGGTCTCTGGCTTCAGACCACTGTTTAGTGCGACTGTTTGCAGCAGTGAGTCCTCTTTTGGGAGACTCCACCCGCCCGCAAGAGAAGCCAAAAACAGCCAAAATCTAATTACTCCATTCGGAGGGGGGGAGGGGGGGGCGCGAGGGCCCGCGCCGATCTGCAAAACAATGCATAAGATAACGATCGCATTCGCGCCAGCGCCGTTTGGAATTGCTGCTTGCAGGAGCGGGCTGGTTCCCAAGCGGCGCTTGGCGCGCAGCGTGACGTTGCGGGGGCCTCGCCCCTCGTCCCCCGGTGTAGCGGCCGCTAGATCGCCAGGGGTCTGCACCGGATGTGGAGGGGGGATGCGATTAGGTCGGGCATGTCCCCCACAGGCGGATTTTGGGCGAAAAACCAACAAAAGTGTCAAAACACACCCAACACATATTTACATATTTAGGCATACTGAGCACATGGTCACCCGACACATTTTTACTTTTTTGAGTACTCCTCCTGTAGAGGGACACGCCCGACTTCCGGATACGATAATCTTGCTGTCAGGATGAACGTCGGATACGGAGCGAAGGGGCTCTTCTGGCCACAGCAAATCTCGGCCACGAATCGCAGGGGCAGTTCGTAGGGGCGCGGATTCGAAAAATCCGCGCGGAGCGCCAACAGTTCATGTTTATGGCGTTTTTTTCTGTTCCATTGCCTGCTCAATACGTGAGAGGTCTGGGGGATGACCTCCTCACCCTGGCGCCAGAGTCGGGAACAAGGGGGGGGGGGGGCTCCTGTGCCGAGCACTGGGGGGCATGCCCGACGAGTGAACAGGGCAGAGGGCCGACCCATGCTCCACCTCACCCTCCCCTCCCCTCCCTCCCCCCTCGCCCTCTCTCCTTCCTCCTTCCTCCCTCCTCCCTCCTTCCTCCTTCCTCCTTCCTCCTTCCTCCTCTCCCTACTCGCACTCCCTCCTTCGTCCCTCTTTCCTCCTCTCCTCCCTCCCCTCCTCCCTCCCCCCCTCCCCCCCCTTCCTCGCCTCATCGCGGCCGGCATCGACGGCACCCATCGGAGGTGCACTCTCTCTCTCTCTCTCTCTCCCTCTCTCTCTATCAGTCCTCCAGCCTCCCCCCCAGATCCTCCAAGGGTGCACACCGGAACTGCCGCCGTGATATTTGTCCGTGGCCGTTCGAATTCCACGCACGCAGGGATCGCAGTCCACCTCCCGCATCCCCTCTGTTCCCAATTCGAGAGGCTCGCTCTTAGTTTTCAGTCGGGCTTGTCCCTCTACGGGGAGAATATTCGAGAATAGTCCTAAAATGGTACGGGGTCGATGTCCCGATCATTTTGATTGTTTTCGAGCATGTGTTGATTATCTATTGTTTTTCTTTCAAAATTCACCTGTAAGAGGACATGCCCGACCTAATCTTAGTTGCCGCGCAACAGTGGAAACCTGTAAGCAGGGCGCAGCTGCCAGAAGCATTTCAGTCACAAGCACGGCGCGACCACCACAGATTGGGCACACTTGCCACAGGTGGGGCAAAAGACAGTCTTGAAAAGCATGATCGCCTTCCGCTTCTCCCAACATACCATCGGGTCCATAGGCGGCAGTTAGCCCTGCGGCATGGCCTGCTTGTGCTGGCCGCGCTCTACTCGCGAAGAGTCATCCGCAGAAGGCATCAGAACACGGCCATGACCTCTGCGCACCCCCGAAACCACGCGGTCACCACAGGATAGAGCCTCGGAGCGGGCTTTCTAGACATCCAACGATCTATGTTTCTTGTTGTTCAATGCGCGGCCCCATGCAGTGGCTCCGACCCCCCTCCCAGGCCCAGTGTTTCGCCCCAGATTCGTTTGTGAAAGCAACTGGGCCCCAAACGCAGGCATGGCGAACCCTCACGGCGTGTCAGCAGCACATCTGCGGAGATCCGGGTCTTCCCCCGCGCCTCCGAGCGGGCCTCTCCCCTGCCCCGGGCCAAGTCGGGAGCGAAGCACGAGACGCCTCGTGCACACGAGCTGGCGAACTCTCGTACTCAACGCGAGGCTGGCCTCGCGGACTGGGGCCCGCGTTCATGCGCGCGGCTGGGCGCGTGCGCTTTCTGCGGGCTCCCTCATGATGTCGGCACGAACGAAATGGGCACGGAAGTAATGGGTACACTGCCCAACCGCAGTTCCTGTTCATTTTGAACAGGGCTCGCTGTCCGCGTCGCCGGTGCCTGTGTCTATTTGAGAGAGAAGGCCGCCTGCCCAACAGCGGCCGCTGTTGGTTCCGGGCGTCCAGATCATTTCCGTACCCATTTTGGGCGTTCAAATCATGGCACCCTCCTTTCATCTCATGGCCATCTCGTCTGCGTTCGATGCAGCCCTTCGGCCCTCCCTGGACCGCGCGCGGGCTTCCCGGGCCAAGCGCTTGCGCGCTTGCGAACCCCCCCTCGGACGCCCGGTGGGCCCAGGCGCGAGGGGTTACGCCATCTGACAAAACCACGGCCGAGGCGCCGGACCCCAGCCTTCTGCAGCACCTTTCGGGCCGGGCGAGGACGCCTGGCGTGAGAAACAGAAAGCAGCATCGGCCAGATCTCGGGGTCTCGCCTAGACGATACGATCCCGAGGATCTGTTTTGCCACGCGGGTATCACCATTCCCGGTAACGGTCGTTACCACGGGCTGTGGGCTGTTAAGGCCCCAGGTAACGGTAACGCTTGGGCAGGATGGGGCACGTCGTGGCGGGGGCGCGCTGCGATTGCCATAGTATGCGCGCAAGCGCCCGCGGGTGCGGGAGGGGGGGGCCAGCCCCCCCCCCCCGCGTACGATCGTTACCCTTACCCCGGATGGCCAGTGTGTGGTTTGGTCCGGGCAACGACCGTGACGCGCCAGAGGATAACAACAAATAGTCTCGACCCTCAGATCCGACGTTGCAAACAAAAATCATATCGCAAAAACAACACCAGGGAGACAGACCCCACATGTCTGCGCCATTTCTTCGAGCCGCATGGATGGGTGAGGGCCCAGGGGCCCGAAACTTGGTGAAAAGGCCAGGCGTGACAAGAACAGCAGCGAGTGGATCTCATGGCTGTTCGGTGATCGTCCTGGGCCCGGCTTTGGTGCCCCCCCTGACCGAAAAATACCTCCCGCGCTCGCTGCCCCGCCGCGCCCCCCCCCCCCTTCGGGGGAACGTAAGGGAGAGACCATCGCAGGGGGGGGTCATCGAGCAGGCATCGGCGATACATCGCCGACACATCGGCGATATGCCGAGCCCAGGCATCCGACGTCTCTCGGGCTCCTCCACACGGGGCCCCCCCAAGGCCTGGTCCCTCTCCCTGGGGCCGGCTCTTCATCCTGAGGTCCTAAGCCGTCCTCTGACGGCCCCAGGGCCATGGTCGAGGGCCCCTCGGGCGGGGCTGGGGCGAGGATATGTCCGGTCCAGAACGTCCTGGAACGCTCCCAGAGCGTTCTCGAACGCTCTGAGAAGGCCGCGGAGCCCGAGACATCCACAGCCATCGGTTCTCAGCTATTCTCAGATAGTCCTCACCCGAATGTCTCCTCGTCCTGGCTCGGCGATGCATCGCCGATACATCGGCGATATGCCGAGCCCAGACGTCCGACGTCCCGAGTTTCCCACCACGAGGCCTTGTCCCTCTCGGGGCCGGCTCTGCTTCCCGATCCGTCCTCTGACGGCCCCGGGGCCCTTGCGAGGGCCCCCAGCAGCCGGAAATTGCGATCCACCTCCGCTTCGAGTGTCTGGAGATGTTGGAGGTCTCGGAGGGGAGGCGGTCGAGTAGGAGATGGGCTACAGAATCGACACACCCCAGAATTGTTTTTTCCTGTCGGATCTACGACAATACGTAGAGTGTTCGTACATCTACTAACTCTCTGCGTCTTTTTCCTGCGTCTACTTCGCCGATTCGGCGAACACCCTAATTTTGGGGTGAATCCATTCTGTAGTCGATCTCCTCCTCGAGACGTCGAGGAGCTTGCGCCGGCGCCGCCGGCGAGCTCCCGCGTCGCGCCGCCGGCGCCCCCGCTCGCCGCGCTGGCCGTGCCGCCGCCGTCCCCGCGCCTCGGCGCGCCGGCGCTGACGCCGCGGCCGGGCGGGGCGCTCGTCGTGTGCGTGCGGCCAGGCGGCGCGTGGCATCCGGCGGGGGCGATCGCGGCGCCCGCAGGTCAGGGGAGGAAGCGTCGAGTATGGCCGAGGGTCACAGGGCTGGAGGGTTTCTCCGAAGGGCTTAGGAGACCATTCCTCCTCCTCCTCCTCCTCCTCCTCCTCCTCCTCCTCCTCCTCCTCCTCCCCCTTCTCGGGTCGCCTACGGCCCCGGGGGAAACCATGCACACAGGGCGCCTGCCTCGGCAGGACCACCAACAAGAAGGACGTCGAGTGGTCAAACGCATCGCAGGTTAAGCTGGCGACGATGCGCAAAATCCAACGATTCAAGTTTTGGCTAGACGCCGGGTGTGGTGCATCAGTTTCAGCTTGACCGATCAGGTGGGCTGCGCCCCTTGACGTCCTTTTGGGGTGTTTTGCAGACCTGACCCCCCAGCCCTACTCAAAGGAAGCTGTGCGTTGCCTGAGATCCTGGCGTTTCGATTTTTTCGCTCGGGGCATTTAGTCTTTTCTGGAGCCCCGGGATCCTCACAGGGTCACAGGTCGATCCCGCTCGAGAAATGAGGCAGAAGGATTGGGTCTGGGGCTTAGGGTGTGATTTCTCACGATGGTGCATTTTTTGTCGCAACGTCGGGTCCCAGGGTTCTAGGCCTCTCAAATGGGGTCGGAGGATCACACCACATCACCGATGCAAGGCCGATTGATGTGGAGCAAATGTTTCTCCGCGCAGGTGTCGCCGATGCGTCGCCGACGTCGCCGATACTCCGTCGATTTCTCGCCGATGCATTGGCGATGCGGCGCGATCCTCCGACTCTATCTGCTCGGACAGGAGGCCTCTACGCGTGTCGTTCGGGGATCAATTAGTTTCCCTTCGCGGCGCGGCAGAGGCGATCCGCACCCGCGCCTGAGTTAGCCGTGAGAGGGCGAACGGATTGTCCGGCGGCACGAGGGGGGGAGGTAGCGGAGGGCGGCCGCTGAGTTGGGAGGAAGAGGGAGGGCTTGCTTTGCGCGAGGCCGTGCGGCCAGGCCGTGCTGAGCAGCCTGGCAGTAGTCGCGGAGCGGCATCGCGGCCACACCCAGGTGCTGAGGCAGGGGCTGGTCGTTCGGGGGACAAGCAATGGCATAGTTAAACATAGCGCGGGTTCCTCGGGTCGCCGCTGGGGCCCGCAGGTTGAAAGCCGCCGGTGCCCCATCATCAGCCAGTATGTAACGAGCTGGTGATCGAGAAGCTGCCGA